CTGTCGGGTGGCGGGAGCGCCTGGGCGGTGGAAGCAGCCTTTTGTCTGAGCGGGGCCCCGGCGGAGAAGAGCCCCGGTGTGGCCTGGCACACCGGGGCGGTGGGGCTGCAGGTCTGGTCGCCCCTGCTCCGAGGCAGCATCCTCCCTAGCCAAACCCGCCCGCACAAGTCCTTGCTCAAGCACCCGAATCCAAACCGGCTGCGGATGGAAGACTCCCCCGTTAATTAAATCCTCTGCGTGGGATGCCTGCTCTCACTTTTCACGTATAGGATCTAATTCTTGCAGGAAGAGGGGCGTCTTATATTTGCTGCTAACTAGTCAGTGGAGAAATGGTAAACTGGACCCATGGCTACATACCCCCCTCCTCACTCAGCAGCTCGGACCTGGAGCAGCCATTTGCCCGGGCTAGCGCTCGAATCCAAGACAAGGTTATTCTTTCCCCATGTTGAATGGGGGACGGATGGACACGGACCTTCATCTTGGATTCGGGTTAACGTGGTGTAACTAAAACCAGAAAGTTGAGTAACGGTGGTGTTACTATCGCCCTCGCCTTGGATTCGAGTAACACCCTCATCTTAGACTCAAGTAAAGGTGGTGTTACTAAAACCCTTCTCTTGGACTTGAGTAAAGGTGATGTTACTAAAACCCTCCTTGGATTTGAGTAAATGCGAGGTTATTAAAACTATACCGCTGACCCTGTCTCACAGCTGCAAGGCACAGTTAAAACACCACAGGTTCAAGCAGGGTGACAAGGGCAGTTGGTGTCCTGCTGCTGCAACGATTGTTAAAATAGGCTGTGTTTTAAAATAGGAACGAATTTGAAAATAGCTTGAAAGAATAGAATTTTAAAAATTAATTCCAGCAACTCTGGATATTGTTGAGCAGTGGTGAAGGCACTTGGCAAACAAAAGTTTCTGTGAAAAGCTCAAGAAATAACAATTTAAGTTAACCTAGCGTTAATGCGTTTTTCCCCCTCAAATATTCCCAACAGCTGCTGTGTTCCCAACGCTTTGGCCCTTGACTCATTAGGTACTGAGTGTAAGTTGTATTGAAGGAGCCGTGCTTTGCACACCCGTAGAGCGTGTGGCTTGTACAGTACAGAGCCATGTTCCTGTGGGTCTGTACAGACAAGCCAGGGGTCTGTCCTGAGGTAGTATTAAAATACAGGTCAGTTTTAATAAACTAAGGGTTGCAGTGGAGGCAGTGTATCTTTCAAGCAAAGGGCAGATTTTACTTTTTGTTTTGGTCTTTATTAAAGTAGGAAATAATCAGGGAGATTCAGCAAGTATCTAGTAGGCAACCATCAATACTCTGGATCATGGTGGGTGTGTAAGAGGTCTAGTCGGGTGCCTGATGAGTCTACTTGTATGGAGTCCTGTGACCACACCAAGGTCATGGATGCTTGTGCCTAGGCAAGAGCACAGAGGAGGGGAGGCTGGC